AACATAATAGAGCTTGTTCACATCCTTATTTTGACGTCTCTGAGTCACCTTCAAGCATGCAACTGATCAGTCTTTGAATGCCAGCCACCTAAGGTGCTGTTTTTCAAGCTGTAATTTTGAGAGGCTAAGTTATATAAAGCCTAAAGTTCTTCACCGACTGAAGTTGGGTAACTCAAATTTGTTCCACCTGCATTCTGCAAAGGGTTGTGACGTCAAGATGCCTGTCTTCAGGCAAGCGTTGCCCATGTTGCTGGAAAAAGAAACATAAAAAACACCAAAGCTTTAGAAAAATGTATTGAGAAAAGCAAAATAGTCTGTGTTCATGTCTATGCTTACTTAAGATTCACCATCTTCTGAGCAATCAGGCTGCAAGGGAGTGCAGAGGAGCAGAAGGAACTCACTCACCCAGGCCAGGTCATAGCACTGATTAGAGCTACATATTTTTAAAGGGTAAGACTGGAGACTAATTTGGCAATTGTCAATTGATTGGAAACGGAATTGCTCATCCAAAAGGGTTAACCTTAGCAAATGATTCAACTCAAAAACGTGTGACAAAAAAGTTCTAAAATTGTCAGTGATTTGTTTTGATATTTTTATTAATAAAAGGTTTGAGATTTATCATAATATTCATTTCAAAATTAGAATTAATGCTAGTAAAGACATATTGAAATGGTAAAAAAAAAAAAAAAGATTGAAAATGATCTAAATGGAGTGCTTATTTACTCAGTCTTTGATTCCCTTTTGGGAAAAGGGAAGGGARAGCTCCTAGTTCACAAGAAATAGGATATTGGCTTTTCTTCCTTATCTGGAATATGATTCTTTTCTAGTCTCACAGCTGCTCATGGCATAGGAAAACCAGCTCCTCTTCAGCTCTGGGGCTGAATCCATATCTTGTCCCTGGCAGAGGTGGAACCGTGGGCATTTTTAATGGTAACAGAGAGCTCTGCCAGTGACCAGTACGCTCTGATCCAGACCAAAAATCAARCCAGGCTGAACCAAGCTGCAAACCACATATTCTGTGAAAGCCAAAGAACCACAGCAGGATCAGGGAGCAAGACTGTTTCATTCACATACAAGGTAACAAAGCCAGAGCTGGGTATTTTTCACTCCTTCCAGCAACAGACTACCCACTTCTCTATGAGACCACAGACATACCCTTATCTATCTATCACATTTTAAGGCATTTTATTGTATAATGTGAAGGAACCAACGACACTAAGCAAGAGGGACCCCTTAGTATGTCCTTCTGCTGTCACTGTTAAATGGGATACATTAAGGATAATGATAACCGCTACAAGACATGCAACTATTTCTTCTTAATGTCCTTTCTCCTTATGACTTAACTATTTCAGATATATTATTAAAAGATTTCTTCTATTTTAATGATTTAATAATTTATTAAATGTGATATACATCTTAAAAAAAAAGGTCATTCTTAAGTGATATTTAAATCAGCATTTTTTTTTTAATGATAGAATTATTCCACGGGAGACACAATACTTTATAAAAAGAAATTGCACTAAGCACCAGCTCCTGGCAATAACCCCTGTACTGCCTCAGTAGTATTTGTGCTTTCCATTTCTTATTCATCTTAACATAACTGCACTGTTCATTTTTTTCTGAATTCACCATTCACCTTGTTTCCCTATTTTCTTCAGTTATTCTCTAGGCTTTTTTTTTCCCCCTGTTACTTTTGGTTTATACTTTCTGTATCTATGAGCAATCACCATAATGTAAGACAAGAGTCACGATTTATCCCCTGAGAGTTAAAAATATCTAGAGATGAAGGATGTTGAAAGTTTATTATGTCAAAAAAAGAGTTTATTATGTTTATGTTTATTATGTTGAAAGTTTATTATGTCAAAAAATATAATCACTTTTCAGCATTTCATTCTTTTCAAATCATGTCATTTTTCTTTGTCTTTTATTACAGCATTTCAAAGGTTATATACAGTGTATTTCTTAGTTTGCTGTTACCGCTGTCTGAAAACGTGTTCCCCAAGGGAAAACTTGCTCTCATTTCACAAAGGCAGAAGCAAGTGCAAAACAGGAGCCAGTGAGAGCTGTTCATTCAGCTCTACACGGGGATTAGCATGATTCGCCACGTGATAGTTCAGCAGAACTTTCTGTGCTGTCTCTGGGACTGCTTATAAACTATGGCTTGCTTTCTGGGATGGTGTATTTTAAAAAGAAATCAAGCAAACAAAAAAACAGCCCCTCAAAATGTAGGTGGAAGAAATAACAACTGCTTTGTACTGTATCATTTTTTTGGCTGGCCATGTAACTTAGAATAATCATTCTGTAAAAGTAGCAGTGATTGCTTTTTGCCACAAGAAAGCAATGCAGTCTTTAAAAGGGAATATTCTGGATTTGTTGTTTTCACTGCGTGCAGGTGAACCTAGTGCTTCTGCACMGCATTTCTTCACAGGCTGAAACTGAGCCGAGGAGAAAGCACCTCTTTGTGGCACTTGGGGAACCTTGGGCTATTTATTTTGTAAACAGTCCAGCGAGGCTGTTCTCATTTTCAGTGACTGATGATAACTTCCATGGTGACTGTAGCCAGGCCAGCTACCTCGGACAGAAGCAGAAAGGGAGCGCTCATATCGGCCCTGGCCGTGACACAGCGCTCGCACGGGGAGCGCGGCCAAGAGATTTCGGGAGCGGGTAACCTTGGGCAGTCGGGACTGTGGCAAACTGCTGGAATCAGCAATGGCAAGAGGAGAATGTGTAGCCATGGCCTTGCCTTCCTCACAGCCTTGCAGAGCCCGCCAGGAGCGAGCCCTGTGAAACCCTCTGCAGGTGCCAAGTGCTGCTCTGCAAGGGGGCACTTGGGGTTTCATGTAATCGAATCCATTGTAAGGACCTTTTGCCTCTCCCTGTTGGTATAAAACAGCTTAATCCACCAAAGAATCCTCTGACAAAAAAAAAAAAAAAAAAAAAAGAGCGCTGGGACTTACACCTTAGCTCCTAAGCTAAAGTACTAAAGTACTAAAGTACTGTAGTTTTAGTTTGGTTATAGTGTGAATCCAACACAAGTATACAGCATATATGCTACGCCTAGGAAGACTGAGCTTTGGCATAAGTTCCATCCCAAACCTGTCTTTTGCAACAGGCTTTTAGAGCCCTCTGTAATAGCATCAGAGCTTGACTTTCTTCAGCCCCGCTCCGTGTACAAGCTGAGGCCTGTGCTCAGTCCTCCAGCGTCCTCACGGTCCCTGGCTGGAGCTCTCCTCTCTTGGAGCCTCAGCACATTTGCAAGGTGGTGATGCAGGAGGAAGACTTGGCTGGAACGCGCACCAAACTGACAGCGTGTTCAAGGGAGGGAGAGAAGTTGGGATTCCCTGCTACCTAATAGCTCCACGGGAAGAATAAACAGCTCCCATGGAGAGAGCCATTCCAAATCCTTCTTCCTCTGTCTGATTTGGAGCAGTGATTTGACCTGGAGTCTCTATCCAGGACAGTTGCCCTATCCGCTACACCATAGGGAGTTTCCCAGGTGGCTCTTGCTGAAGTTCTTCCAATCTGTAGAAAATACTGTATCCCTGTGCTTACAATAGCCTCACCTGAACATTTTTACATGTTTTAAAGCTTGCAAAAGTTTCAAGATGTAATATTTTGAAAAGCAATACATGCTCACAAGGAAAAGCTGTGAATATACCAAACACATTCTCAGGTTGATTCCTCTCATTTAAAAAAAATGAAGTCAGTTTGACTTCCAGCGCAATGTCAATACAGACAGATTAAAAAAACAAGTCGCAGCGTATGCTCCAAACCATGGGCAACCTGCTGCAGGAAGATAAAAAGGTCAAAGCAAAGGAGACTATATGGGTCATTAAAGTTCATGCGCAGGATTAATTTCAACTCAGGTCTAAACTTCAACTTTCTAAAGCAGACTGCGTAACCGACAGGCTGAGCTGAACCSCTGCTTTTGACAGCTGAACAACCCAAACTAGCAACCTGGCACATGCACATAGGCCAGGCCTTGTAAGAAATATTCTTGTCTTTTCCTTCTTCCGTACACGTGCAAAGGCAGGAGTCACAGGGAAGGAGCAGTGGGTTGGACCTTATCACTTGGACAATACTTTGCAATTTTTTTGCCTGGATACTTCTTTGGTCTCCTTTCTCATTTGCCCATTCCAGTTATTTAAAATTCCACGTTATAATCCACCCCCACACCTCTCCCCAACTTCCATGTTTTGGGGAACTGGACACCCCCTCTTTCTGTGCTTGAACGTGTGTTTTGCAAGTAATATTTATTTACCACACTGACATTTGTGTTCAGGGCCTAAGATTTTACTGGAATATCCTGGAATAAAGCTGCAGTACACTGAGGAAAACGGCCCTTCATCCATTGCTTGCTTTTAACATGGATTGCGTCACTGATATCAGGCAGAGCCATCACTTTTTTTCTTCTGCATTCACTGTCATTTCCATTATTAAATGACTAAATTTAGATTGCAAACCGCCTTGGACAAACAAAGATAAGAAACAAGAAGGACGGCAGAGACAACACATTAAGTATCTCGTGAGCAATATAAATCCTGAGGCTGTATCCTTAGAAAACAGCTCCTGCATGCCACCCATCCCAGCTCTCCAACAGGGCTGGATGCTGTTGGCTCCRGCCCAAAAGAGAGGCGCTCAAGTCTCCAAGGCAATTAAGTTTCTCCAAGTCCAGCGCGGGTTATATTGGAGTGCACTAGGAGAGACTATTGCCCGGGAATATTGCTCCCCGAGGGCTGCCGCCAGGCCTCCCTGGGGCTCTGGCAAGCAGGGCAGGGCAAAAATCAGAGGCCTGGAGCCGCGGCTGCCCACAGAGGGGGAATAACAGGACACCAGTGTGTGCCTCCTCCTGGCCGCGCCGCCGCCGGGGCGGGCGGAGGGGACGGCCCCAACGGCCGCCGCCAACGGCCGCCCAACCGCCCGCCCAACGGCCCGGCGGGCGCGCGCGCGCGCGGGGGGCGGCGCGGTGACGTTCGTTGTATATGAGCGCGGGCGGCGGGAGCGCGGGTCTCTTTCAGCGCCAGCCGCGCGGCGCCGCCTCCTCTTCCTCCTCCTCCTGCTGCTGCTCCCGCTCCTGAGTCACGGCGAGCGCGGGCCCCGCGCAGGTAGCGGCCGCGC